GGGTCCCACAGAGCTGGGAAAGCTCTTAATGGTCTACCTGAGTGGCTGTGAGGGATGAGTCGGCCTAAACATCTGCCAGGATGAGAGTATGAAGCTGAACTACTATGGTGCAGGTCTAAGTAAGGACTTTCCCAAACTTTACTTTCTCCCTTCTCTTCTCTGAATACTCAGAACCCATCTGCAAGGGGAGGAGGGAACAGCTCTAGGCAGAGAAACAGAGAGGAAGCCACCCATACCTCACTTTTCCCACTGATGCCTTCCAGTCTAAAGCAGGCCTTAGTTGTGGAAGAGGAAAAGATTTGACTTTAAATCAAGTAGAATGTTATGATGAATTTATTGGACTGGACATTCTAAGTTTTAACTGAGACTGTGCTTGTGATTTTAAGTAAAAGTAGGACTATCTGACACCTGAAAGTGAGCAGAAAAGTCACAGGCTTTGCTGGAGCTTTCATCTAGGGGCAGGGGAGCGTTATCCTCACTGAATACAATTTAAAGGGCATTGAGAAGAAAGTGTAAGATGTGTGATTAAATTATCAGCTGTGCTTCTGTGGTGTGTTGATTACATTATTGTTGCTGATGTTGTTGTAACAAGGCTTCCTTCAAATTCAGTATTTTACGCTCAGAGTCTTCATTTTTGATTGGTATTCCCTGACTGTCATGAATTGAATTATGTCCCCCCAAAATGTGTCAACTTGGTTAGGCCATGATTCCCAGTATTGTGTTGTCCTCTGTTTCGTGACTGTAATTTTCCTATGTGTTGTAAATCCTAATCTCTGCCTGTGGTTAATGAGGCAAGATTATGTTAAACAGGATTAGGGTGGGATTATAACCGCCTTACTAAGGTCACATCCCTGATCCAATGTAAAAGGAGTTTCCCTGGGGTGTGGCCTACACCATCTTTTATCTTACAAGAAATAAAAGGAAAGGGAAGTGAGCAAAGAGTGAGGAACCTCATACCACCATCAAAGCAATGCCCAGAGCACAGTGTGTCCTTTGGACCCGAGGAGCAGAGAAGTTCCTAGTCCAGGGGAAGACTAATGAGAAGGACCTTCCTCCAGAGCCAACAGAGAGAGAAGGCCTTCCCCTGGAGCTGATGCCCTGAATTTGAACTTCTAGCCTACTAGATTGTGAAAAAATAAATTTCTGTTTGTTAAAGCCATACACTTGTGGTATTTCTGTTATAGCAGCACTAGATGACTAAGACATTGACATTTTCCTAGTTTATAACAAATACCCATATATTACAAGTGAATTCACTTAGGCATCTAGGTGGACATTTTGTAATGCTTACCAGAAAATCACTTTGCTTAAGGTTAATTTTCTACAGGTGCTTTACTGAGAAATTTTGATGTTCAAGTAAGAATTAGGTAACATTTACCTTATAAACTTTCCAGACTGAAAAATTCGGCATGTGTCATTATGTAGCAGCCTGGGGACTTCATCTTCCATTTGTCCGTGAACTGGAACAGATAACCAAATTTTTTAATATATTTTTTTAATTGATGTATAACATACATAATAAAAGTGCATGATTCATAGGAGTTGAATTTGATGAATTTTTACAAAGTAAACACAGCCATGTAATCAGTACCCAGTCCAGAAATAGAATATTACCAATACTGCAGTCACTATGATGATCTCTAATACTAATAGTTCCACTTGCTTTTAAACTTTTTAATCATCTAGATGTATTTTTGTGCTTGTGAGATTCATTTATATTGTTGTATGTAGTTGTAGTTTGCTTATTCACAAATCTGTATAGTATTTCACTGACAAATTTGCAATTTATTAATCAATTGTACAGTTGATGGATATTTGAATTGTTTCCAGGTTTAGGCTCTTGCAAATAATGCTGCCAAAAGCATTCTTATACATGTCTTCTCGTGAATATATTGTACATTTTTGTGGGGTATATACCTAGGAGTGGAATTTCTCTATTATAGGTATAATTAGGCTCAACTTTAATAGATAATGGCAAACAGTTTTCCAAAGTGGTTATAAAAATTTACACTTCCTGGTCTCAGGGAACATCTAGCACAATTGGCATAACATAGTTTATAAAGAAAATGTTCTACATTCTACTTTGGTGAGTAGCATCTGTTAGCAGTCATCTGTGAGCAGCCATCTAAGATACTCCACTGGTCTCACTCCTTCTGGAGCAAGGGAGAATGAAGAAAACTAAAGATACAAGGGAAAGATTAGTCCAAAGGACTAATGGACCACAACTACCACGTCCTCCACCAGACTGAGTCCAGCACAACTAGATGGTGCCTGGCTACCACCACTGACTGCTCTGACAGGGATCACAATAGAGGGTCGTGGACAGAGCTGGAGAAAAATATAGAGCAAAATTCTAACTCACAAAAAAAGACCAGACTTACTGGCCTGACAGATACTGGAGAAACCCTGAGAGAATGGCCCCTGGACACCGTTTTAGCTCAGTAATAAAGTCACTCCTGAGGTTCACCCTTCATCCAAAGATTAGACAGGCCCATAAAACAAAATAAGATTATAAGGGGCACGCCTTCCTAGGGGCAAGGACTAGAAGGCAGGAGGGGACAGGAAAACTGGTAATAGGGAACCCAAAGTTGAGCAGGGACAATGTTGACATGTTATGGAGTTGTTAACCAATGTCATAAAACAATATGTGTACTGTTTAATGAGAAACTAGTTTGTTCTGTAAACCTTCATCTAAAGTACAATAAAAACAAGAATTACTCTTATCAATTAAAAAAAAAAAATTTACACTTCCATCAACTGTTTAATAGAGTTCTAGTTACTCCACTTCCTTGTCAACACTTGATACTGTTTGTCCTTTTTCATTTTAGCTATTCTGGTGTATACCTATTATTTTTGAGGAAAATCTTGTCCTAGCCATTGGCATGCCCTCAGTAAACCACCATGCTGGGATTGGGCTCTCTTTTACTCAGTCTTTCATGAGATCATTGCTTGACTCATGATTGAAGCGTAAGGTTCTATATTTAGCAAGGAACTCAGAATGGCTGCATTCCTGGTAAATGCTGTTCAATACTTATCAATAGTTCTGCTAAGTGATATAATAGGTATGAAGAGCTTTAGCCAATATTCTTTTGAGTGGAAGTGCAGAAAACCCAATTCAAATTAGTTTAAGCAAAAAGGTAATTATCTAATTGGCTCCTATAGCTGAAAAGCCAGGCTTCTCCAGGGGCTGAGACTGTTTTCCACTGTGCTGCCTCTCTTCTCAGGCAAATTCTTCCTGTCTAGGGCCAAGAGGCTGCCAGCGGCTCCAAACTTCCAGCAGCAGGGGAAAAAAGCCTCTTCCTGTCTTCTATAAGCACTCTAACACAAGTTGTGGAATCCAGTCTCTTTGGCTCTGATTACTGTGCCTTTCTTAGCCCAGGTTTAGCAGTAGCTTCCTTGGAATCCACTCGATGGCAACAGGTTTGGGTTTTTTTTTTTTCCTTCAACATGTTCTTGAGAAGCAACAATTCTCTGAGGAAAACTGGGGTGCTGTTAACAGAAAACGGATCTATGGTTGGTGTCTTAGTTATCTAGTGCTGCTATAACAGAAATACCACAAGTGGATGGCTTTAACAAACAGAAATTTATTTTCCCACAGTCTAGGAGACTAGAAGTCTGAATTCAGGGCACCGGCTCCAGGGAAAGGTTTCTCTCTCTGTTGGCTCTGGGGGGAGTGGCCTTGTCATCAGTCTTCCCCTGTGTCCAGGAGTTTCTCAGGGTAGGGACACTAGGTCCAAAGGACATGCCCTGCTGTTGGCTCTTGTTTATTGGTGGTATGAGGTCCTTGTCTCTCTGCTTTATTCTCTTTCCTTTTAACTTTTGTAAGATAAAAGGTGATGCAGGCCCCACCCTAGGAAAACTCCCCTTAAGTAAGATCAGGGCTGTGACCGGAGTAAGGGGATTACATCCCACCTTAACATCTTTAACATAACCTAATCTTGACTCATTAACCACAGGCAGGTATTAGGATTTACAACACATAGGACAATTACATCAGATCACAAAATGGAGGACAACCACACAATACTGGGAATCATGGCCTAGCCAAGTTTACACATATTTTGAGGGGACACAATTCAATCCATGACAGTTGGTGAAAGGCAAAAACAACATAATATCCATTGCAAGTTAGCCTTCCTAAAAAAGGATATTGAAAACAACAACAAAACAACAAAAAACCCATTGCTGTCAAGTTGATTCCTACTGATAGTGACCCTGTAGGACAGAGTAGAACTGCTCCATAGGGTTTGCAAGGAGTGGCTAGTGGATTCGACTGCTGACGTTTTGGTTAGCAGCCAAGCTCTTAACCACTGTGCCACCAGGGCCCCCAAAAAGGGTACATTCCCTTTATTCCTTAGATGCTGAAAAATTTACCCTTGAATTAAGCAATACCATCAGAAAGCTGTATATGTGGAATTGCTTTTATTGAACTGTGCTTGGGCATTATGTTATCAACCTGCATAGAGGGGCGGTATAAGAAAGGTCCTGTGGAATTTCTTATAACATTATAGGATAGTACCTAGGGCACTATTTATTCTATTTCAGTGTCCATGGTTATAGGATTTCATGCGAGAAATTTCACCCTGGACTCTGTGGCAGGAAAAGTTGAATTGTTGTGATTTTATCTTATGGACACTGGGATTAATAAAATATATTATGTTTCCTTCTTTGCATTACTAGAGTGATAGAGTCAATTTTATGGCTTGTTTTAGTCAAATATACTAGGCCTCAAAGCATGAATTTTTTTAGTTTTAACATTACTCCTTTATTTTTATCTTATATTTCTTTCATTATGATTTCCCAATTATTTTTCCTTTTTATTCTGTTATATGTACTTAAGTCTTTTCTGAAAGACAGTTAAGAAATAAATAGAATTTTGTGAAATAAATAGAATTTTGTGAAACTTTGATTCCATGCATTGACGATATCACCCTACAGAATAAATAAATTTGCACTGCTTTGGCAAGAGGTTTATTAACAGAATTTACCTTGGGTTCTAGTTTTAGATGAAGGAGTTGTAAAACACTACAGAATCAGAAGGCTGGATGAAGGAGGCTTTTTCATTACCCGCAGAAGAACCTTTTCAACATTGAACGAGTTTGTGAACCACTATACCAAGACCAGTGATGGCCTGTGTGTCAAACTGGAAAAACCATGCTTAAAGGTAAAATGCATTGAAGCTATGCTTATTTATTTTTGAAGCTAACTTTTTACTTTAGATATTAGAGCATTTGTCATGTGCTAAGTTAGTTGAGAGAAAAATTATCATTTAATTACCTAAGGCAGGAATAGGCAAACTAAGGTCAATGAGCCAATATTGGCCGACATTTGTTTTTGTGGTTAAGTTTTGTTAGAACACAGTCACACTTATTCATTTATGTATTATATTTGGCTGCTTTCATGCTATATTTGCAGAGTTTAGTACTTGCAGAAGAGACTGTATGGCCCACAAAACCTTAAGCATTTACTATCTTGTCCTTTACAGAAAAAGTTTGCCAACCTCTGACCTAAGGCAATCACTGAAGACAGAAAATATGCATCCTTTGCACTAGGACATTAATATAATACTCGACCATTAGAACACTTAATGATATGGCTGGAGGTGAAAAAAAATACCAGAATATAATCATAACTAGCTCTCTATACAAGAATATTAATATGAAATTACCAGGTTCATAACTGTTGTTTAAAATAAATGGCTTGTTTTTTTTTTACCTGGTGTATTTGGGGAGAGGAGATAGCATTAAATAGAATTTATCTACATCTACCATTATTCAGTTGTTTGTATGTTTGACCTAAATATATTGCAATTATGGCAAAAAGTCCTTAGCAACTCTTCAAAATTTAGGTCTCACATACTGTCAATGGAACATTCAACTTTGAGATTTATACCTGGGGGATCAGTGAAAACTCCTGATGATGTCTGATCAGAATATTATGGATCAGTAGAAACTGAAGAATTTTGTCCAATATAGTGGGAATTTATTGACTGAAATCATGCCGAGGATATGCAATTCTGGCATAAATATGCATAACTTGCATGGTACAGCAATGACCCTACAAAATTATGTAAGCTCATGCTGAGAAATATCTTACCTGATACAATGATATGGCCTAAAAATACTCAGTTCAATCAGTATTGCTGAATTCTGGTTGGGGAAAGGATTTACAAAGATTCATAGCCTGTCCTCTATGCACTCAAGATGCTTATGGCTTGGTGGAGGGGAGATAAGATAAATATCCAATGGTAGATGCAAACTAGATCATGAGTTAGTTCTAGGAGGCAGGGGCCTTGCCTGTTTTGTTTACAGAATGGCACTTAAATATTAGTTTAGCGAACAAGTGAATGAACAAATACATAGAAAATGAGCATGAAAAAAGACAAAAAATTATGTAAAAATATATAATAAATAGGCAAAATGCTACAGGGCAGAGAATTGGGAAGGATTTGTAGGTGATGTGGCACTTTAATTAGGCTTTGAATTTGGGAAGATTTAGCTAGGCAAAGAGGCCAAAAGCATTTCAGATCCAAGTGAGGATGGCAGTGGGGCTGAGTGGGATGGGACTGATGGACAGCGAGGTGCCTGACTTAGCAGGAGTTGGGGGGATATGAGTTTGAAGAGTAAGGATGCAGATTCTCCCACAGACATTTTATGTTTTAAAATAGTAAAAATAAAATCTAGCATGTTTTTGTTTTTTAAAAATTATGATTTCTTTGAAAAGAACCTAGACTATTATTTTCAAGAAAAATAAGCTAAATCTAACTTTTTTTTCTTACAAGTATTCTAATTTTTCTCTGCAACAGATACAAGTCCCAGCTCCTTTTGATTTATCATATAAAACTGTGGACCAGTGGGAGATAAACCGCAGCTCTGTACAACTTCTGAAGAAACTGGGGTCCGGTCAGTTTGGTGAAGTGTGGGAAGGTCTATGGAACAATACCACTCCAGTAGCAGTGAAAACATTAAAACCAGGTATAAGAATCTCAAAGTTTCAATGGCATATGTTGATTTTTATTGGCTCAGTTTGCCACTGTAAATGTCCAAGAGCTCATGGGACAGCCAGTGCTATACCTGGCACCAACTAGTGTTGTGGTCACTCTCTGGCCTCTGGTAACCATAACCTGTGGACAGGACTTTAGATATAAAGGCTGGAGAATATAAAAACTTAATTGCTTCACCTAGTCTTAAAATATCCCCAAATTCAAGGTTTCAACATGGCATCCCTTCTCTGGAATTAGGATTAGGTCCTCTAATGTTCACCCTTCCCTTGTTTTTCTAGCCTTAGTTAAAAACTACTGACTTCACTGAAAATACTTAAAAAAATTAGATGGAACCTTTGAGCTCTTCAGGGAACGACTATTTTATCATACTAATTGTATATGGTTTAGAGGTGAAAACGGTCCGTCTAAAAGGAGTCATTTGAAAATTCAGAAACTATTTTTTCCTCCATCTTCCTTTTATCTGTGCTAGCAAGTGAAAGTACATTTATTATCAATATTTATTCAGATAGGCATTAGTCTCACCATTTTAAAGATGGGATAAGAGAATTTATAGAAATTAAGTAACTTTCCTAAGATTAACTAGTCATATGATTTTGAGCAAATTTCTGAACCACGCTATACCTCAGTTTTATAATTAAAATAGAGATAATAATAAGGTTAACCTAAAACCAAAACCAAACTTATTGCTACTGAGTCAGTTCCAACTCATGGCGACTCCATGTGCTTCAGAGTAGAATTGCACTCCACAGGGTTTTCTTGTCTGTAATCTTATAGAAACTGATTATCAGGACTTTCTTCTGTGGCACAACTGGGTGGATTCAAACTACCAGCCTTCTGGTTAGTAACCAAGAGCAAACTGTTCACGCCAGTGAGGACCTGAAGGCCAACCTAGCAGCGTTATTATGAAGATTAAATTAGGTCGTTAGTGGAAATGCTTTGCATAGCACCTCATTCATAGTAAGTGATCAATAAAAACTATTATTGTTATCATTATTATTACAAAGTCAGTAAATGGGAGAGCTGGGATTTGAACCTACATGTATCACTCTTGCATCACACCTCATTGAAGTGACATTTTATAAAAGCACAGTGTTTCTACAGTAGTCTCTTATAGCTACTTCAAATAACATAGGTAAGAGTAATAACTACAGGCTAGAAAATAGTTCTCTGGGAACCTCCATTATTTACCTATTCCAGAATTCTTAGAGGTTGGGAAAGCCTTCTGGTGACAGAAGTTGAACACCTAGTTGCTGCAGGCTAACAGTATAGCGTAACACCATGGTTCCCAAACTGTGTGCCAAGGTGCCCAGGTGCACCACGGTGAATTCACAGGGGTGCTGTGGGATTTTTAAAAGTTTTGAGGTAACTAATGGACCACAACTACCACGGCCTCCACCAGACTGAGTCCAGTACAACTAGATGGTGCCCGGCTACCACCACTGACTGCTCTGACAGGGATCACAACAGACAGTCCCAGACAGCTGGAAAAAAATGTAGAGCAAAATTGTAACTCATAAAAAAAGACCAGACTTACTGACCTGACAGAGACTGGAGAAACTCTGAGAGTATGGCCCCTGGACACCATTTTAGCTCAGTAATGAAGTCACTCCTGAGGTTCAGCCTTCATCCAATGATTAACAGGCCCATAAAACAAAATGAGACTAACGGGGTACACCATCTCAGGCTCAAGGACTAGAAGGCAGGAGGGAACAGGAAAACTGGTAATAGGGAACCCAAGGTCGAGAAAGGAGAATGTTGACATGTCGTGGGGTTGTTAACCAATGTCATAAAACAATATGTGTACTAACTGTTTAATGAGAAGCTAGTTTGTTCTGTAAACCTTCATCTAAAATACAGTTAGAAAGAAAAAAAGAGAGAGGCAGAGATTTGAATGAAATATGTTTCCAATACCTTGATTTTCTGATGAACTTGATTTTATAATACAATCCAATATTGTAGGATAATTAATATTTCCACATTTGTGCTTTGTATAATGGAGGTCTGCCTTGATAAAACAAACAAGCAAACAAATAAAACAATGAATTGTACTTAAAAAAAAAAATAAGTTTTGAGGTAGACATCTTGAGTATGGACAAACTCTTAGCTTGAGATAATTCACAGTCTCAACATTAGATCATGTTACACTCCTTTAGATGACATCATACCTTTGTGAAGCTGGGTTTTTAGTGGCTACTGCCCTGGGCACCGTGGTTAAAGTGATCGACTGCTATCCGAAAGGTTAGTGGCTCCGTGGGAGAATGATGTGGTATTCTGCTTCCGTAGAGATTTACAGCCTTGGAAACCCTATGGGATTGCTGTGAATTGAAATCAACTCAACAGCAGTGAGTGGGTGATCAAAAGCAAGTTCCATACAAAAATCAACATGAAACAGGAAATGAGGATAGCAGTGTTTAATCTGATTTCAAGATTTGAGAAGACATGCAGTGACCAATAGGTGCATGTATCTCTTTAGTAATTAATTGTGGTTAAGAATGAAATTAAAAAATATTTTTTTCTTTCAATTTATCTGTATTATTTTTTTAAATGACTATTAAATTGTTAAAAACCTATTGCCATCGAGTCAATTCTGACTCATAGACTGCCTATAGGGTTTCCAAGGAGCGGCTGGTGGCTTCAAACTGCTGACTTTTTGGTTAGCAGCCAAGCTCTTAACCACTGTGCCACCAGGGCTCTATTTGATTGTTAGGACACAAATATTTATTATTTTATCTGGACCTAACCACTTAATAAACAGAACGGTTAAGCATTCAGTTTGACCTACAGGTGATCGTGGAAAAAGGAAGGATGCCATGAATTGAGAAAGTCTGGGACCACCTGGTGTAATAAAAAAACCAAAAAATCCCATTGCTGTCGAGTCCATTCTGACTCATAGTGACCCTGTAGGACAGAGTAGAACTGCCCCATAGGATTTCCAAGGCTTTAATTTTTGTGGAAGCAGACTGCCACATCTTTCTCCCACAGAGTAGCTGGTGGGTTTGAACTGCCAACATTTCGATTAGCTGCCGAGTGTTTTAACCACTGTGCCACCAGGATGTTTTAAATAGGTAAGTGCATAAAGTTTAGTGTAAGATAAACCTAAGTTCAAACTTGGTTCTGTCCTCTGTGACTTTGGACAATTTATTTACCTTTCTGAATCCCCTCACCTGAAAATGGGAATTATAATAGTTCCTACTTCAGAGGGTTTTATGAGGACAAATTGGGTCAATGTACATACAGTATATGTAGTGCGTTCTTAACAAGTGTTAGCTTCAGTGGGTTTGCTGACAGATGCAGACCACTGAAGTGCAAATTTGCTAGCACAGGAGTTCAGTCCCGGCATCTACACCTGCCAGATGAAACAATGGAGACGCACTTTTAAGCGGCTAGATGCCATGTGAGCACTCCAGGTGAAAACAACCTATTCTATCACCTGAGGTTCTCACAATCACCGTGTGTATATATTTTTAAATTTAATCTTGTCATGATGATTGAGGTTGAATTTTGTAGTCCAATCTTAGCATTCTGTTCCAAAAAGAGGCAGCTGACTATACATCCAAACATTGCTCTTTAAGGAAGGCCCTCTAGAGGTCAAAAAAGAACAAAAATCATATTTCTTATCTTAAAAAAAAAAAAGCCACAATAGTTTTATCTCCAACAGGAATAATTATTATTGATTTACAGTGTGATAGCAGCAAACAGCTTTGGTGATTGGTTAAATGTCTTCACTGGGGCCATTAATCAATCTTAGCAGCTATTTATTGCTTAGCAGACTACCACACAAAAAGACGAGCCTGAAATAAACTACCACAATAGCTTTCACAGGCAAAAATTAATATTTAATGTTCCATTGCTAGCTGAATTGAAATTGGGTCTCCCTTGCTCTGCAGCTGGTCAGCTGTAACTGGTGTAGTCATTTATGAGTGCTCTGAGCAGCCTTCACCTGCAGAAGCACCTGACAGACTGTGAATTCAGCTCTTGAGGGTAGTCTGATTTGGGAATTATTTGAGTGTTTGCAGTCCATGAATTTGATGGCCGCCCAAAAAATTAACATAGAAACATATTGTATATATAAATTATCTGAATGGTGATAACAGTTGCTGCTCTCATTGGAAGCTTGATGAATCATATTTTTATTTGGAGGATGGGGTCCCACTATACCCATATTTAACTATAGGCCCAACTAATTGTAACAATCAAGGAAAAAGCACTTTATTATGGTTAAGGTGTCTCTTTTATGCTTAGTTTGTTTTTGCCACTATGATTAAACAATTTAATCCTATTTCATTTTGCAGGGTAAACTAATGATAGAGAAGAAATTGTGGAAGCTCAGAAAAATGTGATAAAAAAGATAATAGAGCCACGGCCCCTATTTGCCTTCATTAAGTACTTGCCCTTCCCTTCTTCATCCTGTGAAAAAACACAATTGATCTGTTCGGCTTTACCAAGAGTATGCATATTAATAATAAAAAATAATAGTCAGCAGTCATTGGGTACTGCCTGAGTTATCCAGTGCTGCTAAAACAGAAATACCACAAGTGGATGGCTTAAATAAACAAAAGTTTATTCTCTCACAGTTTAGGAGGCTGGAAGTCCGAATTCAGGGTTCCAGCTTCAGGGGAAGGCTTTCTCTCTCTGTCAGCTCTGGGGGAAGGTCCTTGTCATCAGTCTTCCCCTGGTGTAGGAGCTTCTCAGCACAGGGATCCTGGGTCTAAAGGATGCACACACTCCTGGTTCTCCTTGCTTGATGGTAATGAGGTCCCCGTTCCCCTCTGCTCAATTCTCTTTTTTATAAGTCAAAAAACATTGACTCAACATACAGTCTAATCCTGTAGATTGAATCTTGCCTCATTAACGTAACTGCCTCTAATCCTGTTTTATTAACATCATAGAAGCAGGATTTATAACACACAGGAAGATCACATCAGATGACAAAATGGTGGACAGTCACACAGTACTGGGAATCATGGCCTAGCCAACTTGACAGACATTTTTTGGGGACACAATTCAATCCATAACAGGTGCTTATGTGCCAGGCATTGCTATAATCCTAGTAGTGACATTGTGATGTCAGTAGGATTATTAGCCACATTTTATAGTTGAAGAAACTGAAGTTCAGAGAGATTTGATAACCTGATCAAGATCACACAGCAAGCTAATGGCAGAGTAGAGAGGCATCCAGAATCCAGAGCTCGATTGAGCCTGATCAAAGGGCAGACTATCTATATGTTGTTGTTGTTGTTAGGCGCTGTTGAGTCGGTTCTGACTCATAACTACCCTATGTATGACAGAACGAAAAACTGCCCAGTCCTGTGTCATCCTCATGTTAGTTATTTTGCTTGAGCCATTGTTGCAGCCACTGTGTCAGTCCGTCTCATTGAGGGTCTTCTTCTTTTTTGCTGACCTTCTACTTTACCAAGCATGATGTCCTTCTCTAGGGACTGATCCCTCCCAATAACATGTCTAAAGTATGTGAGATGAAGTCTCACCATCCTTGCTTCTAAGGAGTATTTTGGCTGTACTTCTTCCAAGACAGATTTGTCCATTCTTTTGGCAGTCCATGGTATATTCAATATTCTTCTCCAGCACCATAATTCAAAGGCGTCAATTCTTCTTTGGCCTTCCTTATTCATTGCCCAGCTTTCTCATGCATATGAGGCAATTAAAAACATCATGGCTTGCATCAGGCACACCTTAGTCCTTAAAGTGACATCTTAAAAAGTGACTTTCTTACAAAGACTACCTATGTGCTCTATGCGAAATGATCTGTGGGTCATATGTAACTCTTCCTCACTCTACACTAATAATCAGGTCACAAGTGTTACTTAGACAAAACTTGTCCATGCTTGAGTCTAATGTCAGTTGTGAAGTCTCCAGCATGGGAAGAATAGGGAATGGAGTGGTCTCTGTGACCATCAGTGGAAATGATATTTGCATGATCCACAGTGAATATTAAGATGTGTAATGACAGTATTCCTTCCATTACAATAATATCTCAGAAATATCACATCGTAAATGAAATAAAAGATTTTTATATTACTTAAAAAATATAAAGTCCACGGATCCTTCCTCCTCTTGGATTTTATTTGATGTTAACTATTTGCCACCTTGCACAGTGAGTCAGAGTTGAACCATTCGAATATAATTTAATTGTAGATGAGTCTTCAAAATAGGCCCGATACTATCTCCCTCATCATTTGGCCAAATTATTAAGACTCTACTGAGGAATAACGTAATACAGGAGAAAATGTTGAGTATTGGCTTTAGGTTAAACATATAAAACTGGTGAAAAAAACTAAGCTTTGGGGGTGGGCCTTGAATGTTTTCTACCTAGCCTACACCATATATCCCATATAAATACAGCAGAAGAATTGTAATCACACAGTGGGCACCGAGGACAGGGCAGCTATCAGTCTTCCTTGGCTCCTGGACCAAAAAGCTCTGGTTGCAAGTAATTAAACATTTAGTGTCCTCTCATGTTCATGTGAATAGAACTTCATTTCTTTGTGCTCCTAAGACTTCTGCTTTATTTTATCAGTTAGACTGCCAGTCTCTCCTTTTTCCTTCATTTCTCATGTAGACTTGAATCAACCTTTCTTCACCTACAGGTCTTAACACATAAACTGTGCACCCCTGTTACTCTAACACATCCAGTTATTAGGTTTCCCTGAACTGATTCTCTTCTTTGATAACGCTGAAGATTTGTCATACTTATGCTATTGCTTTACTGAGATGCAGGAAGTAATCTTGGTGATTCCCACCAGGCTGCTGTGAGGATAGGAATGCCTCACTAACATAAAGTGATTTCCCCCTCTTCTTGTTTCAGGTTCAATGGATCGAAATGACTTCCTGAGGGAGGCACAGATAATGAAGAGCCTAAGACACCCAAAGCTTATCCAGCTTTATGCTGTTTGCACTTTAGAAGATCCAATTTATATTATTACAGAGTTGATGAGACATGGAAGTCTGCAAGAATATCTCCAGAGTAAGCTAAAGACTTCATAAAAGAAAAAAAAAAAAAAAAATGAGGAATTTAGTTTAGCTAGTCCTATAAATGTCAACTTAGCAAGCTTCCTATAACTCAGAGGATATTTACTATGTGTATATCTGTGAGAATGAATGGATTAACATTGAATGGCTCAATTACTCTTTAATAGGATATATACGTTGTGTTCAAAGGGAGGAAAAATATTTATGTAGTGGAAGAACAAATTGTTCACAATAGACGTATCAGAGTACTTAAGTATAATGTAAGAAATTGAAGAATGGATGTGCTGCATGATGTTTTGTTTCCTATAATAAGAAATTAGACATGATAATTCACAGACCAATACTTGCTATGGCCCAGAATTAGGGCCATGAAATACTTTGGGGGAAATAGAGGAGTGGTACCCTAGTTGTTGAGTGTGTGTGTGTGTGTATGTGTGTGTGTGTGTGTGTATTTTTTTTTTTTTTTTGAGTAAAGCAAAAAGAAAGTTTCATTCGGCATATATTCAAAAAGGAAAAAGTAGGAAGGGGACAAGCATGCTGCTAAAGCCATGTCTGCCTGAGTCCAAGGAAATATTATAGAACAGACAAAAGTGGGAAAACAGACAAGCCTGCTGCTAGAGCCATGTCTGTCCAAGTCCAAAGAATATTACAGGATAGGCAAGAATGGGAAAATGGACAAGCATGTTACCCAGCTGGAGCTGGGTCCCTCTGAGTCCAGAGAATATTACAAAAGAGACAAGAGTGGGAAAACGGACAAGCATGCGGCCACAGCCGTGTCTGCCCGAGTCCGAGTATGTGTGGTTTTTTTTTGGTCACTATTTGACAACATTTTACTGGTTTGTTGTTGTTGTTAGGTGCCATCAAGTTTGTTCTGACTCATAGTGGCCCTATGAAAACAGAATGAAACACCGCCCAGTCCTGTACCATCCTCAGAATCATTGCTGTGTTTGAGCCTGTTGTTGTAGCCACTGTGTCAATTCATCTCATTGAGAATCTTCCTCTTCTTTTTCACTGACCTTCTACTTTACCAAGCTTGATGTACTTATCCAGGGACTGGACCCTCCTGATAACATGCTCAAAGTACGTGAGATGCAGTCTCATCATCCTTGCTTCCGAGGAACATTCTGGCTATACTTCTTCCAAGACAGATTTGTTCGTTCTTCTGAAAGTCCATGGTATATTCAATATTCTTCTCCAACACCATAATTCAAAGGCATGAATTCTTCTGCAGTCTTCCTTATTCATTGTTCAGCTTTTATATGCATATGAGGCAAATGAAAATACCATGGCTTGGGTCAGGCACACTTTAGTCCTCCAAGTGGCATCTTTGTTTTTGAACACTTGAAAGAGATCTTGACTGCTGCTTCCATGGGCGTTGATTGTGGATCCAAGTAAAATGAAATCTTTGAAACCTTTAGTCTTTTCTCCGTTTATCATGATGTTGCTTATTGGTTCAGTTGTGAGGATTTTTGTTTTCTTTATGTTTAGATGTAATCCGTACTGAAAGCTGGGGTCTTTGATCTTCATCGGTAAGTGCTTCAAGTCCTCCTCCCTTTCAGGAAGCAAAGTTGTATCATCTCCATATCACAGGTTGTTAATGAGTCTCACCAATTCTGAAGGTGCATTCTTCTTCACTTAGTCCAGCTCTCTACTGGTTAGTATGTGAAATGCTGCTAGGCAGCATTAGAATTTTCAGACTAAAAAGCAGGAATTTACTATTGCTTTACTCTCATATCTGCTTCCTGCAATCAGAGAAGACTTAAGGGCGTAGTGAAATTTTGATGTTTAGTACAAATGAATACTTTAATAAACAACAATATAATAAACAGTTAAATGAGATGTTCAAAGTAGTTGAGATCAAGTACTAAAGGAATAGTTTATGTCTGAAAAAGTGACTTTATTTCTTGAAATGTCAGAGTGGGGTTGATAGAGTGCATACAGGTAAAAAGAGGTGAGAAGAAGAATAGAACAGATTACATAAAGATAAGAGTATGCTCCGATTTCAGGGCGATTTATGAAGCTGGTAGTATTAAATTGCATTACTGGATTAGGAGTAAAAAGAATATAAGGCCTGTTAAATGCTATTAAGAACAAAAACATAGCTCACTTGCATAGAGATATTAAATTTAACACTATCAGCATATGTTACGTGCACGGATTAGTGCCATAAAAAGACTAACCTCAGCAGTATTCCCAGGGACAAAGCATGGGGAGATTCTGGGTCATCTCTCACAAAAAATGCTTTGTCAAGGTCACTGAGAACATTCACACTGTTAAATCTAATAGTCAATTCACAGTCCTCAGATCTATCAACAGCATTAATTCGGTGGACACATGCTCTTCTGGGAAGCACTTTCTTCACTTGGCTTCCAGGACACTTCACTCAGCGGCTTTTCCTCTTTCCTTTCTTTCTTGTTCTTCTCAGTCTATGTGATTTTCCTCATCTCCTAGACCTCTCAATAGTTTAGAGTTCCCCCAGGACTCTTTTGTAACATCAGTAGTTTCCTTGTTAATCTTAAATTCAGTCTAATTGTTTAATGCCATTTATATATTGACAATTCCCCAAATTATATCCCTTCCTTACTTCAGACTTACACATCCAACTGCCTTCTCAGCCTTTCCACATGAATGTTATATCCATCTGAATAATGTAGTTATGCTATAATAACAAATATCTCCCAAATTCCAGAGGCTTAACACAAGTGGTTATTTCTTGTTCTTGCTACATGTACAATATACGTTGGCTGGTGGCTTTGCTCTTTTGATTTCCTTGGCAAGGGGAAGGGATGTAAATAGTCTCACCCTGGCTCTTGAAGTTTCTGACCAGAAGTGACAGAAGTAACTTCTCTGCCCTTTTTATTTTGTCAAATCAAGTGAAAGGGAATAGGGAAGGACAATCCTCTAAAGTGCTTGAAAAGAGAATAAAGTTTGCAAACAGCCCTAATTTCTACTGCATGTATCTATTAGATATCTCAAAATAACATGCCCAACTCCTTGAATGTTCTCCTGTAATCTGCTATTCTTGTAGTCTTCCCCTAATAATGTCAATGCTTAGACCTACTATCTTGAAGCCATCCCTACTTATTCTTACATTCCATATCTCACCAACCAGCAAATCCTCTTGGCATATCTTCAGAATATATCCACTATTTTACCACTTCTCAACATTTGTACCCATCTGTCTGTGGAGGCTTGCATGTTGCTATGATGCTGAGCAGGTTTCAGAGGAGGTTCCATACTAAGACAGATTAGGAAGAAAGTCCTGGAGATCTACTTCCAAAAATCAGCCAGTGAAAACCCTGTGGATCACAAATGATCATGGGAATGGTGCAGGACCGGGCAGCATTTCATTCCATTGTGCACAGGATCACCTTGAGTCAGGTGATGACTTGATGGCAGCTAACAACAGCAATACCTTGCTTGCTGAAAGTAAGAGGACTTGAAGCACTTACAGATCAAGATCAAAGACCACAGCCTTCTGTATGGATTACACCTCAACATAAAGAAGACAAAAATCCTCACAACTGGGCCAATAAGCAACATCATGATAAACGGAGAAAAGACTGAAGTTTTCAAGGATTTCATTTTACTTGGATCCAAAATCAACACCCATGGAAGCAGCAGTCAAGAAATCAAACAACGTATTACATGGGCAAATCTGCTGCAAAAGACTTCTTTCAAGTGTTCAGAAACAAAGATGTCACTTTGAGGACTAAAGTGCACCTCACCCCAAAGCCATGGTATTTCTAATTGCCTCATATGCATATAAAACCTGGATGATGCTTAAGGAAGACCAAAGAAGAATTGGTGCCTTTGAATTATGGTGTTGGCCAAGAATATTGAATATACCATGGACTGCCAAAAGAACGAACAAATCTGTCTTGGAAGAAGTACAACCAGAATTCTCCTTAGAAGCAAAGATGGTGAGACTACGTCTCACATTCTTTGGACAAGTTATCAAGAGGGACCAGTCCCTGAAGAGGGACATCATGCTTAGTAAAGTAGAAGGTCAGCGAAAAAAAGGGGGAAGATTCTCAACAAGATGGATTGGCACAGTGGCTGCAACAATGGGCTCAAGCATAACAACGATTGTGAGGATGGTGCAGGACTGGGCAGTGTTTCATTCTGTTACACATAGGGTCACTATGAGTCCAAACCAACTCAATGGCACCTAACAACAACAACATTCCCACTTTGGTCCAAGCCATCATCAGTTCTCTCCTAGATTCTGAAATTGCCTCCTAACTGGTGTCCCTCTTTGGTTCCCTTTAGTTTCTTGTCAGTGCAGTAGCAGGAGAGATCCTGTTAAAATGTAAATCCATTCATGATCCTCCTCACCTCAAGATCCTTAGTGACCCCCATCTCTTTATAACCCATAAAGTCCTGCATGACCCAGCCCTCCATTACCTCTGTCCCTATCTCCCACAACTTTCCCCTTGTTCATTCTGCATGAGCTATACTGGCCTCCTTGCTATTCCTCATTCTCAACAGGCATGCTTTTGCCTCAAGTCCTTGCGCTTGCTGTTTCCTCTGTCTAGAAGTTTTTCCGTTAGTTATCCAGAAAGTTCACTTCCTCATTTTATGAAAATCTTTACTCAGACATTCGCATCTTGGTAAGGCCTTCACTAGTCACTCTCTAAATTCTAAAATTTAATCACTGTCTACTGACCCTTCATATTCCTCTTCCCTGCTTCTTGTTTTCTCTCCTTAGCTACTAATCATCTTATACTGTATGCCTCTTTCTTTTCCTTCTTTCCTTCTTGCACTGAGGTTTACTTAGGCCACTTTACTTGGGCCACTGCACTTTCATGACAGGAAATGTGTATTACTTAATTTCCTTCAGTAATTGTGCCTGTCAGTGAAAACTTTTTTATATCCACTATAACAGAATTAGATGTTGTATTTGATAGTTGAAATAATATGTCTATTTTTCTACAGAGCCATCTTTGCAGTCTCTAAAGCTTGGAGATATGTATATAATAAATTCTTTTAAAATTAAAAAGCTTGTCAAAAAACTTTAGAATTAAAGGTAATTAATTAATTAATGCCAGATGTTTCTTACTAAAATTTAAAGAGAATAAACATATGCAACTTTTTTTAAATTAATTGGAGTTATTTCCTTTTTGATAAATACTTACAGAGCACCTAATATATGTCAGGCATTTAGGTAGTGTTTAAAAACAGCGTTTTCTTTTTTTTACAAATTAAGTCCTTGCATGTTGCTCATCATTCTCATGGTTCACTTAGGACAGGAATGCTCTCAATGAGATATTCTTTAACCTCATACAACTACTATAATTATTTACTGTTTGTATGAATGGAAGTCTCCACTAGCCCCTAACTTTTGGAAGCTTAGGTGTAATGTGTAAGGTAAGTTTTAGGAGGTGTAAAATAGTTCTTAAAAGCATGAGATTTCAGCCTTTGACAGACAGAGTCTACAACATATTACTGGTTCCTGAGTAGTAGGAAGCCCTATGCAATGGAGATAATGATAAGAATAATAATACTTATTTCATAGAGTTGTTTCTGAATGTTAAATGAGGTGACTTACTGGAAATCAGCCGTATGGGCTACTGGTAGGAGAGGAGCATATATATTTAATTTTTTTTTTTCTTCTTTAGAAAATACTATACAGCACTTAACTATGTGCCAGGCACTTTTCTAAGTGTTTTACAGATATTAACTTAGTTAATTCTTCTAATAATCTTATGAGATCAATATTAAGATTATCCCTACTTTGCAGCTGAAGAGACTGAGGTATAGAGAGGTTAAGTAACTTACTCAAAATGACTAGGTCAGAATTCAAACCCAGAAAGTCTGACTCCATAGTCCAAGCTTTTAACCATATACTTAGAACTGATATCATTTTCCTAACACTAGTCTGTATTAGTTATCTATTGATACATAATAAATTACCCCAAAACTTAGTGGCTTAACACAACAAACATTTATTATCTCAGTTTCTGTGGGTCAGGAATCCAGATGCAGCTTAGCTGGGTCTTCTTGCTCAGAGTTTCTCACAAGGCTGCAATCAAGGTTTTGGCAGCTGCTCTAATCACCTGAAGGCTCCTCTTGCTGTCTTCCTCTTCTCATTCAGTCCTTAGTCCATTGTACTCCGTCTCCAATGAAACTGTTCTTTCTGCCACCAAGGTCACCAAATGAATCCATAATTATCATATTCAACAAATGTCTTTGAATTCTTATCTTAGTGGACTTATTTGTAGAATTTGACTTTCTCTTTCTCAAAACCCTCGATTGATACCATGTTCTTTCCAAGTTCTCCTCTTACTCTTCTGGATGGTTCTTCTCAGTTTTCTGTTCTTCTGCCCACGCTAAATATTGGTACTGACCCCTCTACTAATGATCAAACTGATCCTACTACATAAATTTCTTACACTTAGTTTTACAGAATGAGCAGTAGTAGAAACTATGCCTACGAAAGGTATATCCTTGCTTGAAGAGATGAGCAACCTATTCTAAAATAAAAGTATAAGAAAAGGAAATCCAAAAATGTACCAAGCTTAGTGGAATACAAATGTAATATACACATCTTATAGCCACTGATAGACCCTTCACTTTTGTTAGCAAACTAATTTTTAGGAACAAAATGATGGAGGACCAAGCAAATTAGTATGATTTTATAGGCTCAAATCTTAAAACAAACCATGCAATGTTTGAAAGAAATATGGAGGCATTCATGCAATGATGTCCATAAAGAGATGAGGCAGCATGGTCTCGGGGAACATCTAGCTCAGTTGGCATAACACAGTTTATAAAGAAAATGTTCTACATTCTACCTTGGTGAGTAGCGTCTGAGGTCTTAAAAGCCTGTGAGCAGCCATCTAAGATACTCCACTGGTCTCACCCCTTTGGGAGCAAGGGAGAATGAAGAAAACAATATAGAAGGGAAAGATTAGTCCAAAGGACTAATGGACCACAACTACCATGGCCTCCACCAGATTGAGTCCAGTACAACTGGATGGTGCCTGACTACCACCAATGACTGCTCTGACCGGGGTTACAACAGAGGGCCCCAGACAGAGCTGGAGAAAAATGTAAGATAAAATTCTTTCTCAGAAAAAAAGACCAGACTTACTGGCCTGACAGAGACTGGAGAAACCCTGAGAGTATGTCCCCCGGACACCGTTTTAGCTCAGTAATGAAATCACTCCCGAGATTCACCCTTCAACCAAAGGTTAGACAGCCCCATAAAACAAAACGAGACTAATGGGGCACAACAGTCCAGGGACAAGGACTAGAAGGCAGGAGGGGACAGAAAAGTTGGTAATAGGGAACCCAAGTTCGAGAAAGGACAGTGTTGACGTCATGGGGTTGTTAACCATTGTCATAAAACAATATATGTACTAATTGTTTAATGAGAAACTATTTATTCTGTAAATCTTCATCTAAAGTACAATTAATAAATAAATAAATAAATAAAAAAGAGATGAGGTAGCCATGTAGGGTATTGAAAATGGCAGTACCTGTAGTCTTTCAGATAATTATAGCTGTGTTTGGATAATGTCATACTTTTGCTCCTTTCTCTCTGTGTAATGCTCATTCAGGAGATGGAGGAGCCTAGCCTTGGAATGTTTTTGGACTCTGAAAATTGCTGCCTCATTAATCCTTCATAGGAACTGCAATTGTTTGTGTTAATTATATTTCTTTGCTCAACAAAATGGTGCCATGGCAATTAATGCCAGCAATAGTTCATTCATCAAAATTTTCATGATTCACTTCAATAGTTCAGATGTTCTCTGAAGGAAATCACTTTTTTTTTTCTTATTGCCTAGATGATGCTGGATCAAAAATCCATTTGACTCAACAGGTAGACATGGCGGCACAAGTTGCCTCTGGAATGGCCTATCTAGAGTCCCAGAACTACATCCATAGAGATCTGGCTGCCAGAAATGTCCTTGTTGGTGAACATAATATTTACAAAGTGGCAGATTTTGGACTTGCAAGAGTTTTTAAGGTATATTTAGTTTTGTTTGAATTGGTTTTTGTAATGGATCAAAGGCTAGCAGACCAGTATAGCAACTGGTTTACTGTCATTCCTCAAATGATGTTTCTTTAAGTTCTATGGTCCATAGTCCACTTCAATAGCCCAAGACTCTACAAACAAGCCACCTGCCTATTCATTTTTCTTCACCAAGGAGAAAGAAATAGTGAAAGCAATAACTAACCAGACTGGAAAGTATGTATTAAAATTTGTCTTGATTTTTGAATTAGTAACAGAAACTCTTTGTCTGGCTATCTTTCTGCCTCTATTCCCTTAGAAAAAGCAGTACATTTTATACAGTGGGTTACCCTGCCATTTTGCTCACTTTATGTCAGACTGATCTGCATGCTATCAGAATTTTTCAGCAATTATTGGCTTTATCATCTCCCCTCTCCCATTTCATGACATAATATTTTAAAAGGTCAAAAGACACTTACATAGGAAATGTAATATTAGGTGTTTTTTTCTAAGTTTAATTTTTAATTCCTACATTGTACCCTAAAAAGAGGGACATGTGGGACATGAAACACAATCAATACATGATTCTCTTTTGGTCCTCATTAATTCGTCATATTTTTATTTTGTAAATTAATTAGAACCCCAGTGAGTTGGTATATTAATTTAAATGACTTGAATCCTACTTTTTCAGTATTAGAAAGTAATTATCTGGTAATTATCAAAGTCAGTGGCTCTTCAATACCAGCAATAAATCAGAAAACAGACAGACATTTATTTGCGAAAGACCAGATGTAAAGCCAATATCATCATGTATGAATTCTCCCGTATGTAGCAGAGTGATCTTTCAGTGCTATTCTTTGCACATAGTAGGCTGTAAAGTATTTTATTAACGACTTCTCACATATTTTTCAGTGTTGTAAGTCAGATTTGAATTTGCTACTGTAATTATCTATTGAATAAAACTCATTTTGAATCTTTTCCCTCTAAATTTTTATGTGAAGCAGGTTATAGATGAACAAGGGTGACAAAAAAAAATCACTTTAACTTGGCTTGATTCCTCAATGCATTAACAGGTAGATAATGAAGACATCTATGAATCTAAACACGAAATAAAGCTGCCGGTGAAGTGGACTGCACCTGAAGCCATTCGCTCTAATAAATTTAGCATTAAGTCTGATGTGTGGTCATTTGGAATCCTTCTTTATGAAATCATTACTTATGGCAAAATGCCTTATAGTGGTGAGTAATTAATTCTGAAGTGGGCCTTTCTGCTGCAGGTCACTTACTTAGGTGTGACTTTAACTGCTTTCCTTAAACTTAGAGGGCAGAGTTATGAGGCTGACCACACCATGTGCCTGTGGGAGCTTAATAGATAAAATTTGATGATGATCATTTGCATTAATGAGGTGGTTTATCGCATCCTTCTCCTTACTTTTGAATTGCAGTCTTATAGACATTACTTGCTTCAGGATTTAGCTTAATCTCTGCAGCCTGAAAAGGATATGGTAGAATTCATAGTTTCACCAAGGAAATCAATTTGCTTTGTAACCTAGAGTTTAAGTGTATATGAATGTAAGACTCTGGTCTTTAACCTGTTCTTTTGTTGGTTCCTTTTTACATTTTTTAGGTATGACAGGTGCTCAAGTAATCCAGATGTTGGGTCAAAACTATAGACTCTCTCAACCACCTAACTGTCCACTGCAGTTCTACAACATCATGTTGGAATGCTGGAATGCAGACCCTAAGGAACGGCCAAAATTTGAGATACTGCATTGCAAACTTGAGGACTATTTTGAAACAGACTCTTCGTATTCAGATGCAGATAACTTCATAAAATGAACACTGAAGAAGAATAGCAAATAATGAAGTAAAAATAAAATTGAATAATCAGTCCAGAAACACAACCTTATCAAGTAACTGTAAAATCAGTTTATGTTGCTGTATTTAAATGATACTTTGGCCAGGTATTATAAAAAAGGTTATGTGAACATTTTATTGATTGGGCAGTGCTGCATGCCAGTCAACAATGATATATCATTTTCTCACTGCCTGGCAAATCAAACAAACTAACCGAAGTTATTTTTCTTTTTAAAAGATACTGGCATTTCTATTTATTGTTTGAAATTCCGATCAAGAGAATCAACAAATGATAGACAATTTTTACTCAATGACTGTTGTAGCATTATCCTTTTTACTGATTAGAGTGGTTATTCATTTATTCCTTGTTTTCCTGAATCCCATCAGGCTGTTATTATGAAGGAATTTGATTGCCTTGCTGCACAGCAGGACCTGTGCTTTGATTTTTTTTTTTTTCTCTTTTAAAATATCCTGTGACTACAATAATGGTAAACCCACGTTAAACGACTTGATTGTGCTTGGAGTAATTGCACATATTTTATTCCTGTGCTTAAAAAAATGAAGCAGTTGTTGAGAAAAAAATTAAAATTTCTCTCATTTAGTGAAAGGAAATGATGGAATTTTTCTATACCTCAGTATGTGTCATCTGAGAATAATCTACATTAGTTTTAATCTCTTAATGTGAAGAATCAGATTGCAAAACTGATGAGTTATTATCTGTGGAAATATGTGAAAAACATCTAACAGTGCATAAAGCCTGAGAAATAGATATCAAAATAGTTTAGGAAAATGAGAGGAGAACAAGAGGATTGTTATGGCCCAGATACTTTAAAAAAATGGGGAGGGGCGAGGACAGGCTTTGGCATATAGGCTGGAATTTTAAATTAACTACAAAACAGGTGTTTTAGTTGGAGTGCTGCTATAACAGAAGTACCACAAATGGATGATTTTAACAAACAGAAATTTATTTTCTCACAGTTAAGGAAGCTGGAAGTCCAAATTCAGGGTGCTGGCTCTAGAGGAAGGCTTTCTTTCTCTGTCAGCTCTGGGGAAATGTCCTTGTCTCCTCAGCTTCTGTTTCCTGGTTCCTTGGAGATATCCGTGTGGCTTGGCATCAATCTTCCCCCATCTCTGCTTGCTTGCTTGTCCTAATATGTTCTTTTTATATCTTGTAAGAGGTTGACCAAAAACGTACCCGACACTAATCCTGTCTCATTAACGTAACAAAGACAACCCATTCCCAGTGGAATTGTAACCACAGGCATAGAGGTTAGGATTTACAACACATATTCTAGGGGACACAATGCAATCCATAACAACAGGTCAAGGTCTGTTTCAGATAGAGACTAGGAATAATATCTGAAGTTGGTTATGAAACTGATTTTTTTTTTGTCTGGTAGGAGAAGAGTGTTTTTACTCCTCTTAAATTTGCATCAGCCTTTGTAACAAAGCTACCATCTTCTTAAGCAATGGGTGTATCAAATTCTGTGCCTCATTAGATGAATAGCAAGACTTCTCAAGAGTGATTTCAAAATCATATACATATTAAAAGATCTTCTGATGTACAGCAAGATGAATGAAGCAAGCCATGAGAAAACAGGATATTTTGCGTATATTCTCTTATCTTTTGTTAAAGGGAAAGTAGAGCACATCTGTTGAGTTATAGAAACTCTAATTCAAAGTGAATTAAGTAATAAATAAATTTGTAAAATCTTGCAAGTGGAAGACTAGAAGTAGGGAGAGCTCCAAGCATGTACCATTAACAGCTCAATGATGTTAACAAAGACCGAGTTCTTTCCAGCTCTCCCCTCTGCCATCTTTAGCATTGTCCTCATCTAATGTTCACAAAATGACTGCCAGTGGCCATTGAGGCTCCTGTACTTTTCTCTTCATCTAGCAGAAAAAAACAGGAAGCCTTTCTCCCAAGTTTAAATATAAATTATTCTCCTTTTTTGTTTGTGAAAATGTAGGTCATATACCCTATGTGGACCAATAATAGACTAAGGTGAATGCTATGTTCTGAGTGGTTTAGAATATGATCCACCACTAATGCTGGGGATGTGATCACCTTTCCTGGAGACAAACTGGGAAGGTTTGCTTATCTGAATAAAATTCGGGAAGAATGGATGCTAGATAGGTGTCTGTTAAGGAAAAAATTCCAGGAGATGAAATAGCTGCTAATATCTATTCATCTGTGTGTGTGTGTGTGTGTGTTTGTAGGTGTGTGTATATAAAGTCAAACTTTTATGAAGACCTCAGACTAACATAAATCATGTGGAGCTAAAGATTATAGAGCCACTTGATTCCTTTATGAACAGAAAATACTTATAAGGTAAGGACAACATTAGTTATCAGTTGATATGTATAAGATAACTTCAATTATTTATGTAAAGTCATCTAGTCTGATGCAATCAAGGAATGAATTATAAATAACTAGTTATTTAAAATTAAAAGAAAACAGCTCATTTTCTTCGAGTTCAATCCTGCTTAGGCATATATAGAAATGAATTGAAATATTCTCATTTTATTGTGAAAATTCAGCTACTATATGATTTTTCTTTTTGTAGTAGCTAATAATAATAATATCTTTTCTAGTAAGATCTGATTTTGAAATGCATAAGGAAAGTTATCCTTTCCTGTTTTAGTACCACCTGAAACCTGTTTAACTTACTACGTTTGATTCTTGGGGACATTTATGTTCAAGCTTCTGTCAAAGCAATCTATTATTATTGTTTTTACCTGATGGATCACGGAGAAAAATAATGGATTCAGTTATGAGAAGCAGTAATAGATTTTTTTCAAACTGACATACATTTCTTTCCCTGTATAGAATAAAAGAATGAGGGAAAGATAAGTTGAATTTTCCTACAATGAGCTGTTCTTGTTAAATTTATCTCCCATAAATTGTAGCAAAGTACTTTTTATGTAATGTTTTATGTAATTCAGTTATTTGGAGGTAGTGTTGAGGGATGTGAATACATCATTTCATGTGATGCTTCAAACTTTTTTTCATATGAACCTAAATATTTTTTGTAATAGAAACAATTCAAAAATCCATCAAGCCTCCTTTAAAAAGGTTAAGAAGGAAATAGGTTTAAATTACCTGGGGCCAAAAGAGTCTCAGGGTGGATTCATAATAGTCATGGAATCTGAATATTTTGTCATCAGAAGCAAAGTTAAAGTCAAAATGACCAATAAGCTGCAAACTGGGCTTCAGATACTGACAGCCTTAAGGGACACCAAAGAGCAAGGAATATACATGAACCATAAGGCCTTTGGAGAAATAATAGGCTGGGCTCACTCACGCTTTCTACTCACAACACGTGTCTGTATGGTGACCATATGGATTGACTGAGTCATGAGTAGCCCAAACTCTTTTGAGTCTGATGGCCCAAAGGGAACCAGTGCCTTTGAAAAGATGCAAAACTGTCACCCAGCTGTAGAGTCTTGGAGGAAACAGGGCTCAGCTGGTGCTCAGTGGCTTGCCAAGCACATGCCATACCTGCAATAACGTACTTCATGGTATAGTTGAGCCTGTGATTTCTGGACCAAGTAGTCTTCCTGGTAGTGTGTCTATGGTGACTTTTCCAGACCCTTTGAAAAGATAAATTATGTGAACTAGGAAGAACGGTGATGATTTGGCTCTTGTATTTCCTGGCATCATTATGGGCAAGTTTTGTCCTATAGTCTTCAATGCAATGTAAAAATTTAGTGTTGTAGGATAAAAAAACAAGCTGGAAAATTTGACGGCGAATATTACTTTTTTAAATCCATGATTCCAGCAATATTTTAATTTTCACAATGTCATCATTTCACTGCCTGCATTGCCTCATTCAACTTTCTTAGATTTTTCTGTATTTTATACAAAGGAAGTGATGTTGGTAGATCTCTTAAATTATTTATTACATTTAGAAACAAAGCAGAGAGCAAAAATAATACACAAACCCTGAATTTCACAGCCTTTTACAGGTTTACCTTCAATCTGAATTCAGATGGTGCTATCTATGTATGGGTTATAAGATGAGGTTAAGGGAAGAGATGGCCAAATATTTTGCATTTACTCTTCTTGCCTGGGGAGTTAATTTAGTAAATGCATCAGAAGCAATAGACTCCAATGTAACATCTTTTTTGTCCTCTAGGAAAATAATCAGCTCTTCCAGAAAAGGGTAACCAGTCTCAAACATGACTTAAATATCAGTTTTGTGCACTACTGTACAGGGGATTCGAGTCATATAACATTGCCTTATAATGATTTCCTGAAATCTTAGAATAGATGCTTTGATTATACTATTTGTGAAAGATATAGCTGCTTAGTATTAACCACATTTTGTTTAATTTGTACTGTTCACAAGATTTCACGGTAAAAATATAGCTTTTAGTCATTTTTCAAAATCAACATTAAGTAGAATTTAGAAAGTGGGAAATAAAATTTATTAGGGAAATTAATATACTTTAAAGGCACCACAGTGAGATTCTTATCTCTTCCAAACATGTATATTTCTGTATTACACCCTTTAATGATATTTATATTATACTATTGCATGTGAATGTATATTATACGTGGTTAATTTATATGTGTAGCGGAAGAGATTAAAAAATGTTTTAATTGTAGTAAAAAGATATGTTTTAATTGTAGTACTTGTTTTAATACTGTTATATATCTTGGTTCAAGCACAACTATTTTAATTTTTTAAAATTTCTATCTCTGGGTTCTTTACAATTCCAAGGCAAAGGCCTTTCTTAAAAGTATATTTTATCCTGAATTTTGTATCTTTATTCTCATTGGATTTATTTATTATACTAATTACATATCAGAATGATTATTTTCAACCCGACTTTTTAAAAGTTGACTGTTTCAGAGGTCAAGGTGGTTGTGAGTCCAAGACATGAATTTAATATATTTCATAGCAAGTAAAATGTTTCCTCAGTTGACTAAATTAAAAGAGTTTACATTTGTATGATGGGGGAAATAATTCTGTGAATCAAGGGAATATGATCTTGCTTCTGCCACATGCTCACTTCAGGTCAGCTGCTTCATGTTACCTTACTTAGAGACTGAGGCCAATGGAGAAACCACCATCTCTTACATTGCCAGTTGCTTTGGCAGTAGGAATGAGAGCTGTGGTGGGTCTTATGTTGGCAATTAAATTCCAAGATCCAGAAGGTACATATGTCGCTTCTGCTCACAACTAATTGGCCACAATCACATGACCCTATCTAGCACATGAGTCCTGGAAGTGCAATCCCACCATGTGCCCAGAGCTATAGCACCAGAAATACTGAATAAATAGTACTAAAGACTATCACAGCACACTGAAACATCAAGTGAATTTTCAGTGATACCGAGTGGTGGAGAGCCATATCTGCTCATTTATTCATTTGTTTTTTCTTTACTTCTGTTATTCATTTATTCAACAAATATTTATTGATTGCCTACTGAGTAGCAGACATTGGACTAGATGTTTGGATAAAATTGTGAACAAGAGAGAAATGGATCCTGCTTT